GGGAACCCCAGCGATCACCAGGGAGCCCCAGCCATCACCAGGGAGCCCCAGCGATCACCAGGAAACACCAACAATCATGAACAAACCCCAGAATCACCAGGGAACCCCAGAAATCATGAACAACCCCCAAAAAATCGCTGGAGAACCCCCCAAAATTAACCAGCGAACCCCAAAATTACCAGTCAACCACAGACATCATAAACAAAGCTCCTAAATCACCAGTGAACCCCAAAAATCATGAACAAACCTCTCCAAATCACCAATGAACCTCAAAGTCACCAGAACCTCCCCCAAATCACCAGCGAACCCCCAAACCCCCCACTGTGTCCCAAGAATCAGCACACACATCAGATACCCCCATTTCACCCCAAGAATCAGCACTGCTCCCCCATAACCACCACCGTGTCCCACCAGTCACCGTCACACCCCACACAGCCCCCCCCAGCGCGCCCCAGGAATCAGCAGCGCGCCCCTAAATCCCACTTTGCCCCCCCCCCTCCCGGGTCCCACCTTCTGGCGCTGCAGCTGCTCCAGCTGCTCGCGGTGGGAGTCGCGGACGCTCCGCAGAGCCACCGTCACCGCCGCCGCCTCCGCCGCCGCCACCGCCCGGCGCCGGCACCGCAGCTCCTGCGCCCGCTCCTGCCGGGACACCCCCAGCTCGGCTGAGGGCACAGCCAGTCAGGGGGGACACCCCCACAGCGAGGGGACAACCCCCACCGGGGGGGACACCCGACAGATAAGCGGGGACACCTCCCTGGTCAGTGGGGACACCCTCAGTCAGTGGGGGCACCCCACAGGGGACAGTCCCTCACGAGTGGGGACACCCCCTCCACTCAGGGGTCAGTGGGGACACTCCTGGTCATTGGTGACACCATCCATCAGTGGAAACATCTCCCATCAGTGGGGACACTCTTCATCAGTGGGGACCCCCCCCCATCAGTGGGGACCACCCTTCTGATCAGTAGGGACCCCCTCAGTCAGTGGAGACCCCCCCCATAAGAGGGGACACCCCCACACACAGTCAGTGGGGACAACCCTCCCATTCAGGAGGAACACCCCCAGGCAGTGAAGACAATACCCCAATCCCTATGGGGACCCCTCCCATGAGAAGGGACACCCCCCTCAGTCATTGGGGACACCCCCATAACTGGGGACACCCCTTAGGGGATCCCCTTAGGGGACACCCCCACCAGTGGGAACACCCCCAGTCAGCAGGGACAGGCAAATGGGGCTGAGGATGCAGATGGGGATGAGGATGGGGACAGATGGTGAAGAGGATGAAGGTGAAGATGGGTATGGATGGGAATAAGGATGAAGATGGGGACAGATGGGAACAAGGATGACGATGGGGACGGATGGGAATGAGGATGAAGACGGGGATGGAGGGGATGAAGATGGGGATGAGGATAAAGTTCTGGATGGGTGAGGGCGAAGATGAAGGTTGGGATGAGGATAAAGATGGAGATACAGGTGGGTGAGGATGAGGATAAAGGTGGATGGCAATGAGGATGGATGGGGATGAAGATTGGAATGAGAGTGAAGGTTGGAATGAGGATGACAATGGATGGGAATGAATGAAGACAGGGGGATGAGGGTGAAGATGGATGGGAATGGGGATGGATGTGGACAAATAGAGACAGCTGAGGATGAGGATGGGGAGGAGGATGGATGGGGATGGTCAGAGTGGTGGGACAGCCCCCTCACCCTCCAGCGCCTCCTTGGCCTGGAGCAGTGTCCGAGCCTCGCTCTCCAGCTGCTGGTTACGGGTCTGGAGCTGGGCCAGCTGTGCCTGCAGCTGGAACACGCTGCTCTCCAGCCCCTCCTTCTCCGACCTGCAACGCCGGGAACGCTGCCAGGACAGGCTGGGGGAGCTGTCCTGGCATCCACATCCCCACCCAAACACCCACCCGAGCCTGGAACCCTCCACCCACCCCAGCACCCACCCGAGCCTGGAACCCTCCCATCCATCCCAGCACCCGCCTGATTTCAGAACTCCCCCCTCCCACCTGAGCCCAGCCCCTGAGCCCAGCCCAGCCCCACCTGAGCCCCTGGGCCTCCCTGTCGCGGTGGTGGCCGTGCTGGTGGGCGATGGCGAGCTGCACGGCCAGCCCGGCGCTGTCCTGGGCCAGCTCGGCGTGGGTGCGGCTCAGCCGCTCCTGCTGCGCCCGCAGCTGCTCCTGCTCCACCCGTGCCCGTGCCAGAGCCTCGCCCGCCGTGCCCTGAGCCTGCAGAGCCTGTGCCACGGGAACACCGCAGGGAGCACCGGGAATACTGGGGACACCCCCGGGAGCACCGGGGACACCACCAGGAACACTGGGTACCACAGGGAGCACCGGGACCACCTGAACCACAGGGAGCACTGGGGACACCACAGGGAACACCGGGGACCACCAGGAACTCTGGGACTACCAGGACCACTGAGGACACCACAGAGAACACCAGGAACACTGGGTACCATGGGTACCCCACAGGGACCACCGGGACCATCAGTTACCGCCCAGAGAGCGCCAGCTACCACACGTGGACCACCAGTTACACCCTGTGGATCACCAGTTAGCACACCCCCCCCACCAGTTACCCCTCACAGACCACCAGCTGCACTACGGGGCACACCAGTTACCCCTCACAGACCACCAGTTACCGCACAGGGATAACCAGCCACATCTCACAGACCCCCCATGGTTCCCAGCCACCCTCGCCCCTGCCCACCTGTGCCAGGTGCTGGCGCAGCCGGAGGTGCTCCTGGCGCAGCGCCCGCAGCTCTGCCCGCACGCCCCGGGATCCCTCCAGCGCCGCGCTCCGTGCCCGCTCCAGGCCCTGGCGTTCCAGGATCCCGGCGCGGCGCCCGCGCTCCAGGCGTGCCCGGAGCTGGGCCAGCTCCCGCAGCAGCTCCCGCGTCCGCAGCCGCCCCCGCTCCCGCTCCCGCTCCAGCCGCTCCAGCCGCCGGCACAGCTCCGCCTTCTCCCGCGCCAGCCCCGACGCCAGGTCCGACGTCTTGGCCAGCGCGTCCCGCAGCCGGCATTCCTCGGATTCCGCCGCCCGCTGTGCCAGGGCCAGCTCCCCGCAGCTGCCCTGAGCCTGCCACGGCGGGCACCGCGTGGGCACGGGGGCAACGGGGGGCAACTGGGCATGGGGGGGCAGTGGGAGGCTGCCAGGGGCGACTGGGAGGGGTGGGGAGGGTACCGGCGGTCACTGGGAGGGTGCCAGGGGTCACTGGGAGGTGTGGAGAACATGCAGGGGGTCACTGAGGCACGGGGGCCACGTGGGGCATGGGGGGCACCAGCTGCAGGAGTGGTATCCCTGCCACCTGCATCCATGGGAATTCACCCACTGCACAGGGATGCACTTCTATCCATAGGGATGCACCTCTATCCAGGGGGGACACCTCTATTCATAGGGATGCCCCTGCATCCATGGGGGGCACCCGCTGCAATGGGACAGACCCCTGTGGGGTGCTGCAATTCGGGGGTTCCCACCTTTCCCAGCGCCTCAGCCAGCGCGTCCCGCTCTCCCCGTGCCAGCTCCGCCTGCAGCTCCGCCCGGCTCAGCTCCTCCCGCGCCTCCAGCAGCTCCCGCCGCGTCCCCGCCCGCTGCTCCTCCAGCTCCTCCAGCTGCCGCTGGCTGGGCACCCACGGGGGCAGCGGGGGCTCAGCACCCACTGCGGGGGGGCAGAACCCACCCCGGGGGGCTTTGGGGCACCCACTGCGCTCAAAGAGCAGCCCCTGGGGGAGGGGGACACTGCAGCGCCCACCCTCGCCCAGCACCCACCCGTGTCCTCCCCAAACTCACCTGTGCCCCCCTAAACTCACCTGTGCCCCCCTGAACTCACCTGTGCCCCCCTGCACCCACCTGTGCTCCAGCTGCTCCCGGGCGCTCTGGGCGTCCCGGGCGGCCTCATCCCGGGAATCCTCGAGCCCCTCGTTCCGGCGCTGGAGCTGCGCCCTCTCCTGCTCCAGGGCCCCCGCCCGCTGCTGCTCCACCGCCAGCGCCGCCTCCGCCCGCTCCAGGTCCCTGACGGACACACGGACACGGGGCAGATGGGTGGACACGCGTGGGCAGATGGACGGAGACACGGACACGGAGGGGTGGATGCACGGACAGACACACACAGGGTGGGTGGATGGACAGAGGAACACGGGTGGGTGGACGGATGGATGGACAAATGGACATGAATGAGCGGATGGATAGATGGATGCATGCATGGATGGACAGATGGACAC